ACTCCAGCTCTGATTTACAGAAAAGGAAACTGAAGTCTAGAGATGTCTAGTGATTTGCTCAAGGACACACAGCGAGTAGATGGTAGGTAGAGATGTCATTAAAGTCTGACTCTGAATCCAGAAAGCTGTCATTTTACCAACCTCCATAAAATGTGTGACAGTCCAGGTAGATGGCAAATGTTTTTGCATGTGTTGGGAACTTGTATTTGCCTAGAAACTGACTTCACCTGTCAGGATAGAAATTAGATAGAAATTAGACAAGAATTAGAAAAAAAGGAACGTAACACAATGGTGAAATGAGAGAAAAAGCAAAATTCAGACAGACAGACCGATGCACACACACACCCAACCCTCAACCCTCCAGAGCTTCCTGCCTGTGAACCGAAAGGGGGAGTGCGAGTTTCCCAGCCCTGCAGGCAGGTGCTCTCAAAGGCCCCTGCAGTCCTCCACTTCCTGAGGAGGTGGCGGCAGAACAAAGCCAGAAGAGACCCCTTTTCTCTTCGTCGTCCCAGCCACGGCCGCCTCAGCGTCTGCCTCCCAGCCCCATCCTGGGAGAAAGGACGAGATGAAGTGGAAGGCGCTTGTTATCATGGCCGTCCTGCAGGCACAGTTTCCAATGACAGGTAGGGCCGATGTGTCGCTGGTAGCGGGGAACTTCTAGAAACTCTTTGTGAGTGTGTACGGGGGGTAGTGGAGGGATGGTGAGAAGCTGGGGTCCCCTTCGAATCCTGTCCTCCCCAAATCAAGGGGCTGCTGAGCTGGGAGGAGTCAGGGCCTGAGCTGGCACCTGCCCCTTCGCAACCCAGTCGGGCGTCAGTTCAGAGCCAGCTGCTCCAGGTATTAATTTTTCCGGTGATGAAGAAAAGAGAAAAGTCTGTGTAGGGGAAGGTCGAGGAGGAAGGAAGCAGGAGAGCAACTGAGGCAGGCCTTGGGCAGAGAGACGACGGAGAGGGTGTGTGGGACAGAGCCGGGTGGGATTGGAAAGTGTCAGCCAGGCCATTTCCACAGTGCGATGTTCTTCTAGTCTCTGCGTCGTCGTTCACCCTCCAGCTGGCTCCGTCACTCGGCCTCTTTCTTTCTGCCCTTGCCAAAAAAGAATATTCCACTGGCCTGAGGGGAGCACGGAGGCCCAGTCTTCCGCAGAGACTTTGCCCCCTCGTGGCCCGAGGGTCCATGTCTAGGCTCAGCCCTGTCATGGCTGCCCCCGTGCCCCGGCCAAGGGCTGCCCTGTGACGCAGCCACCCAGGGCTCGGTGACTCACCCGCCACCCTCCCCTCGGGCAGCTCTCTCCGAGCCAGAAAGCTGGCATCTCAGGCAGAACGTAGAGGGCAGAGGAGAGGACAGGCCTTGTTAAGGCTCCACCGTGAGCAGCAACCAGCCAGCAGGGGAACTTACTCCTCCCCTCGTTCCCGTGTGGGAGCCTGGCTTCCCTGCAAGCCTTTAGCTCCCGTCATGTTTTCCAGCCCAGATGATGGGGAAGACAGCAAGAGAAAAGAAGACTAAATGGACCACTCGGGCATTTGGCATTTTTACAAGAAACGGGACAGGCCATATTGGGATGCAAAGAAAAAGGGAAGGTAGTCACAAACGATGTCCTCCCTCCGCTTGACGGCTCACCTAAGTGTGGGAGTTTGTTCAGTGACGATGGCGGGAGGGCAGGAGAGGCCATCGGCGCTTGTGTTCCACCTCGGGGGGTTCAAAGGACTGTGTAATTGCAGGGTTTACTGCGAGATCATGGCCCTCTTCTCAGAAAGGCCTGGTCGGGTATGAGTCACACGGTGCTGCGGGCTAAGGGCACCAGGGCGAGATCAGAGCCGTGCGTCCCTGTGTGCAGGGGACGGGAGGGTCCCTAACAGCCTGGGAATTCGGTGATTTCCGGGGGAAAGAGCTGAGGGCAAGAGCTTCAGTGTCTGGGCTTCAGGCTTGGGACCCTGCACCAGGGGGGTAATTTCACCTTTCAGGGCCTTTACCTGCAGTCCCCTCACTGGTCGTTTGTTTATTAGGCTTGGGGGCAAAGGCAGGGGCAAAGCAGAGTTAGAAAAATGAAAGGCTGCTTGCGTGGTGGTGGCTGCCACGCGAGGCAAACAAAACCCCACCCGGCGGACGAGCTGGGGCCATGCCCCACTTCCACAAACCGGACAGGCAGAAGAGATCTCGCGTTGCCTGGGTTTGCCACTTTGCAGTGCCCCTTACTTCGCCTCTGTGGAGGCTGACATTTCAGCTCCTTTTAGACAAGGCTAATAGATGAACATTTTCAAAATGCTCTAGTCCAGAAACAAATGCAGTAAGGCAAGGGGTGCGCAGAGAGGCCCCCACGCCAGGGGCTGCGATGGCGCTCATGTTGCCTGAGAGGACGCCCTCCACGACTTCCCCTGGCAGAAAGGCTGCTGGCGGAGTTTGAGTGAAGGTGTTCTCTTTTCTTGCTCAGTTAAGTAACCTGTCTCCTAAGCCCTTTTAAACATCTGTTTTTCACTAAGCATTTTTTCATTTGCATTTCTTTGAAAATGCCCAGATCATTATGATCAGTGAGGACTTAGTCTGTCCACAGGAGGAGGCCTCCCTGAATGACAGTCGCCAAGACGGCCAGCTGAGGCCAGAAGCAGCTAAGATGGCGCCGGGTGGCACGGGCACACTGTTGCCTGCAGACCCCTCAGCGGATCAGTGTCTCTAATGCTCTGTCCCGCGGTGGCCGAGAATGTGCCCGGTGGTCCAGTGAGGAGATCGATGCAGCTCTGACATGCGGGCTCAGGAAACGCAAGACCCCCAGGGTTGTACGTGGCCCTGCTTTTAGTTAGGCAGCTGGACATGGTGCAGAGAGTCAGGCCAATCACAGATGGAATCCCAGCACTGCCACTTCCTATCTGTGCCACCTTAGGCGAGTTACTTAACCCCTCTGGGCCTCAGTTTTCTCCCCTCCAAAGACAGGCCCCTAATACCTTCCTTGCAGAGATGTGAAGATGAAAAGTGATTGTAATGTGCCTGATGCATGGTAGACAGCCAATGAATGGAAGCTGTATTTATTATTACCGTTATTACATCTTCGACTTATCTTCTTAGTCTCAAAATCCGGAACGGGAGATGGAAACCCGTGGCTGAGATTCTTAATCTGCTCTCCATTGTGTCGTAAGGCAGCAGTGGGCATTTTTCCGTCTGTGAAATCCGATTCATCCCCCTTCTGATTTCTGGGCACACTCATCCCCACACAGAAACACAGCAGTGATTGGTAGGACCAAATCATCTGGTCGTAAGATGTCCCTTACAGCACCGTTTTAATTTTTTAAAGACACTTACTCTGTAGGGGAGTATTCTCCCAAAGTGAAAAC